AGCCTGTAACAGCCCACATCGTCTACCTGCAGCCTGTAACAGCCCACATCATCTACCTGCAGCCTATAAAAGCCCACATCATGTACCTGCAGCCTGTAACAGCCCACATCACGTACCTGCACCCTATAACAGAGCTCCTGCAGACCTCAGATTAATGCATAAAATATTAAATAGCATATTCAGTTGATCAAATGTAAATGTAACACTCAGCGTGTGATTAAATTGATTAATGCAATATTCAGCATATTGCATTACAGAGCTCTGGGTCAAACTCTCCCTGGCATCAGACAGAGTAAGACTAACTTACCCTGCCAGCTTGTATCTTTTATACATCCATATTACCCCTATAATTATCACAGTTGTTTTTTCCTCTTCGTGTGTTGCTTATCTATTGACACCAGCAGTCCGTCTTCACTCCTTCGTCCTCCCAGGATGTTCTGCAACTTTGTTAATAACAACTCAGTTCTCTTCCTTTTTGCAGCAATCCCCCCACGATCGTCCCTTGATGTCCTCATCTGACTCTGAACCGTCCATTTCTCTGTATAAGAAAAGGATTTAAACATCTTCTTTTCTAATCCTTTGTTGCGAACGTTATATCTTGCAAATTTCAATAATTACATTTCATAGTGGCCTAACGATTACTCATATGTTGATTCATCTAAGGCAGTTACTTCTTTTACTGGTTTACTGAATGTAATACTTTAATGGCTTGAGAAATACATTGATTATAGAAAAATAATATGTATTGCTTTATTAAGAATATAGTAATACTCAAGAGATAAAATAATACTCAACACCGCACAGCAGCGTGACCTTCACCAGCCTGTCTGTGGATTACTGGACCTTCAGTTGGAGCTGCTGGATCCATATCTAACTCCAATTACTACTCTTCCTGGTACTCTGCTTAAAGTTTTGCTTTATATTAATGCCGTTAGCATGGTAGTTAAAGAGAAGCTGAACATTTACTCAGTCCTTTAAAACTCTGAACAGTGGTGCACCAGCTGCGCTGAATGACTCCCGGTTGAACCACCGTTTAGTAATTGCACGATTTCTCTGTTGATAAGTAGAGGACTTCCTCTTACACTCAAAAACAAATACCTGAGGAAACCTACAGGCTCACAGGTGAATGCAGCTGTACTTGTTAACACCAGTCAGCAGACCTGTGATGGCTGAGACAAACCTGAGTATATACCTGTGATTTACAATTAGCCCCACTGCATGAACATGGCTATAAAATGAGCTGTGAACACCAGAACTTTCCCTGTTTTGGATCTCACGGCTTCACATGGAAAAACAGCCCAATGAATGGTAAATGATTGGCAACCTGTACAAAGAAACAGATGCAGCAGGAATCAGGAGGTACAGGAGGAGTCCTCATACCACTAATCAGAGCTGCAGAGGTCGTCTACAGATGACAGCGTGGACAGTACGCTGCTGACACAGTCTGACTGTGAACTAGTGCTTCAGTCATCCTAGCCTGCGACAATCATCCACATCCACTAGTTAAGGATGAAACTAACTCTGGGGGGCTGTAGGACTAGTGGCTAATTTAATGTGTTACTGACATAAACGTTTCAGATCACATCCTTTTATCTGTGGTCATTGATATTTCAAACTCAACTGACACAACTTGGGAAATAACGTCCATTTTAATTAAAATGTATTTCACTTGCTTTGGGGAATACAAATGCTCCAAAGTTTTCAGAGTACTACATTGTTTAAACATAAAAAAAACAAAGAAAATGGATACTTGGCTTAAAAACTCTGCTTACATTCGTCTAACATATGATTTAGAAAAGTCTTTCAGACAAGCAAACATAACAGTTACAAGGGTTTCAGCACATAGCTTCTAAAATTAAATCAACAACCTGTTTATAAAAAAAAGGGGGGGGGAAAGGTGTAATTGAGAATTTGTTTTAACAGAAAGACAGCACATCACCTGCATAACTGACCAGTTTCACAACACAGATGTTTAACCTTTTGTTTTTTTAAAGAAGTGTTTCTCTGGTCAAAAATAACTAGAACAAAAATTATCAGAACGCATGGAAGGTTATAGACAGCAGAGTTTGCTAATGCTTAAAAAGGTCCCTTCACAAAGTTATTCCAGAAATAAAAGGGGTTCTGCAGGAGCAGGCTGATGCAGTGGAGTCATGGTGCTAGCACAATGAGGTGACACCTTGATCTGCTGCTCTTCCAAACTGTGTAGTCCTGAAGCGCCATCACTCTAAATTAGTAACAATCATTTCTGAGTCCATCAACACTACAGTGTATGCGTGACTTCAGCTATACAGTGGTGCAGTGACTCCAGAAGGTGCTCAGCTCCAGTCCTTCACTCCATACTGTCTGGGTCTGCCTGGGCCATGTAGGCGTCCAGTTCGGCATCCAAGTGACCCTTGGTCTTTGACATGTAGGCATCTAGCTGGTTGTCTAGTTGTTCACGTGTAACAGTTGGCCGACCAACACCTCGGCCCCGCCCACGGCCACGACCACCTCGCCCAGCAAAGCCACCACGCCCACGCAGTCCACCGCGGCCTGTCCAACAAAACAGAGCAATGGTGACCACATGGCAAAGAACAAGAGTCTGCCCTCAACTCAAAGGCTTCTCTCTGTTACAATTCAGCTCATGTGAACTACAATCTTTTTTTCCAGCTTTAATAATACAGGAAATAGGGAATAATAGCGGAAGTAAAAAAAAAATAATTGCTAGCCCTTGACCTCTGGCTACTCCTCCTCGAGCTACTCCTCGGGACATAGCTCCTCCTCTTCCAGCAGGTCCTCCACGATGGCGGCCTCCTCTCCGCATGGGCAGACGGCCAGCAGAGCCACGGCCTCGCATGGGACCACCCGTAGACACTCGCTTCCCTGCATAATGCAAGGTCACAGCATCACTGTCAGCAACATCCAGATATCTAGAGCGCTGCCCCACATTAGGGATGCCGCTGGACTCAGAGCCACATTCACAGGTGAGACAGTGTGCAAGCAGTTTGTGGCTACACACCTCTCAGAGACAGAGCTCCCCTCATTACTCCTCCTCTGGCTCGTCCTCGGAGGCCTCCCCTGGTCATCCCCCTCATTCCTCCTCTGCCTCCAGCAGGCCCTCCACGCATCAGAGCCCCGACAGGCCGGCCCAGCCTGGCTTGGATGTTGCTCTTCCCCAGGCGCTGCTTCAAGCTCTGACACAAGTTAACCACAGATGCAATTATGGGAAAAAAGAAATCAGCCCAACAATGTGGGAGATTCTTAACGACGGCTTATTGTATTGCTCAGCAAACCAGAACCTTTCATGAAAAAAAAAATGCAGCCCTCTTATTCATTTGGATTTGGCAAGTTCATCAAAACCAGCACAAGAAGTTGCTGAGAAGGTACTCGGTATGAAGGAAGCTTTGTCACTGGAAACTGCTGAGAAATTCCTCTGACAGCTGGTACCAACACAAACATGCGGCTCATAAAACCAGTGGCAAGAGTACCTGGATGTTGGACGACTTTTCTTTTACATTACAGTCACTTCCATGTTTTAAACACATACATTATATATATAATGAGGTTCAGTGTTCATATAGCACAAACCCATCCCCAATCTCTCCGTTATTGTCAAGCCTGGTCTTCGACAAACAACTTGACAGACGGCCCTCTTTCATTAGCTTTACACAGTAGTGGTGAATGTCAGTCTACAGCTACAACACAGTTCTGCATGGTAAACAGGTCCACTGACGCTCAGGCTGGTCAGCCTCTGCCCTTACCTGCTTGTGATTCAAAGCGGCTTGCACTGAGGGCCGGTTCTCCATCTGCTGGGCCAGCCGACGATTGCGGGCACTGGCTAAATGTTGCTGTTGCATGGTGGCTCGAATGCTTACCGCAGTGGGCTGCTTGTTCTTCAGCATGTTAGTGAAGCTTTAGAGGTGGGAGGGAAAAAGAGGGAGGAAGTAAAAGAAGGGGACAGGGGATATACAGAGGAGGAGGAGGAAGCAGGGTTCCACATCAAGTCATTTCTCACATCATGGATCCTGCCACACAGACTCGGTGGCTCTTTGTCACATAAGACTCGTTATGTTGCACCTGTTGGCACTTATTTTCTCTCTCAATCATATGACAATCCAGATCATTTATACTTGAACTGAGCATGTGCACAAGAAGAAAGGCAAACTGAGACAAAGATAGAAACAGAGAGCAAAAAGACGTAGGACAGAAGAGGAGAGCAGGCTGAAGAAGAGGAGCCCCAATGTGCCACTTACAGGCCTCTGGCTGATGGTCGGGGATGTCATCGTCATGCTACAGCAACAGAGGCCCTGGACATGAGCTGTGCTTGGCCACCCAGCCACTTACAGCATGGACCGTGACTTGCAGCTTTAACCACCAGGTGAGTGGTGCAGGAGCAGGGAAGGAGGGAAGGGTAGGGGGTGGGGGCTTGGTCACGTCCAAACTCGGACTGAGCACTCTGTCTTATAGATTTGAGCACAAAGAGAGAAAATGATAGAAGATGAGGACAAAGGAGCATGTGCTTCATTTCCACTGGTTTGAGAGAGAAAACTTTGAGAGGCAGTAAAGACAACGAGGTGCCCCATCTCCCTGGTTTGGCCTTTCTGTTCCCCTTAAAGGCGTATACTTGATGTATATGTTGCTGTGTAAACAACAGGGAGCAAGCGTGCCAAGGTACTGCAGGACAGTGGTCTGGGTCAGCATAGGCTTACCAGGGCTTACCGAGCACGACCACTACCCTCTCCCCTTCTCTACATGTGTGCACTGCTCACACAAGACATGTGGCCCCGGCATGCCCCCTCTGCCCCACACTGCAATTGCATTCAACTCTTCTGACATCTCAACAAATGTGGACAAGTCCAACAAAGTTGAGTGAGCAGTGCACACACGGGGAACAGTCAGAACAGCATCCATGTTGGGTCCGGTCCCCAACAGTAGCTTCCGTAGAGAGCACTAGAACCTTCACAAGCCAAGGCTGGCCTTGCATCTGGTGACTAACTGCTGACAGGGTGCGTGGCGTCTCACCGCTCATTCAGGGACACTTTGGTGGTGCTTTTCAGGACAACTTTTTGGGAGGAGGCTGCACTCATTTTGACAGACTTTGATTGTAGGCTCCTGGAAACAGACAGGACAAGAAAACAACAAGATAATCAGGTAGGCAGCAGAGGGAAGCAAGCCAACTGAAGGCAGTTTTCCAAAAGCACGCCCAGTGTGTCTGTTTTACAGAAATAACCCATTATCATAGGGGTTCAACTAGCTGGAACTTCTTTTGTCAGCAATGTTAGGCTGTTGCTAAGAGATTTACCGTAACGTCTTCCTAAGGTTAGATTAACCTCAACAGTTTGTTCAAACTGACGGACTTGTCTTCTAGCAGAGACATTATCTGCAAAAGCTAAACAAGAAGCACAGTCACGTCCCACAGCATGACATAAGCATCTTTGGTGGTGCCTAAGGCTGGATGATCGGCTGGTGGCCACGCTAGGAGGCCACCACTCAGAACCTCAGAACTGTGTCTGGAAAACAGTAGCAGTACGTTCAGACCTGGGCTTGACAGGACAGAGAAAGAACAGCAGACAAATGTATTGATGTCAGTCCACCTCACAGTCAAGAGGACTAACCCTAACCACGACAGAGTGACAGGGTTATGACACCCTAACCCTAACCCTGTCATGTGGTGCTCAGACCTCCTCGCTCGTGTTTCTACTGTCCATGTCCAGTTAGACCAGTTGTACATGGCAGGAAGCGTGCCATTCATACTGGGTTGGTACATTAATCAGGTTTATCATGACTGAATGTATCCAGAGCAGGACTTTGGCTTTTACTAGAAAAAAAGCTTAAACTTATGATACTTCCTTAAAACCACCTATTGTACATGTCTAAATTAAAATTGTAAATAATTACACATTAAAATATCTAAATTACTATCCGGATACCAGCACACCGACTAGAGGTTCTGGTCCAGGTCGACCAGACAGGGCTCCACTTTCCTCTGAGAGGTGCTGTAAGCTGAGCTCCTTAAATAAAATCAGACCAGAGGACAGAGACACGCTCCCACCGTGGGGTCTTTAAAACGGCACAGGGTTCGGGTCTAACCCAACATGTATGGAAATGACCGGCCCAACCCAAACCGGTACCGAACAGGTAACGTGAACCTGACGGTGACGTCTGAACACCTGTCTGGCCAGGTATCACACATGAAGCGCACTTTGCTTCTGGTGTCACAAAAACATGGCATTTAATTAAAACGCACTTGTAGCTTAAAGTTTCTTCTCCTAGTGGTCCGGAACCCTGACCCGGTTCCCTTCAAACGGGCCTTAGTGGTTTACGGTCCTACTTACGGCGGACGCTGCGTGGGTCGGTGAAGCCTTCAGCCGCCAGTTAGCTTTAGCAGCCTGCTAGCTCCGTGTCCGTGTTATCTTCCGTTAGAACTCAACCGGTCACGCGCTGCTGTCCTGCGCGCTACAGAAAACTCTCAACGAACTCCGGGTGGATTCGGTTCGTCTCAAGATGATTCTGAAATTGTAGAGACGGGTCCCCTGCGGTTCTCCTGCCTAAAATGGAGCTGCTGCGGCTGCTGTGCAGAAAATGGAGAGGTTACGACTACTACGTCACGCTACGTCACATCCGGTCTGCTCGTGTTGACGCTTTTCTAAAATGGCGGCCGCGGCTCTGGTCGAGACACCTTCAGGGAAAGATGCTGTGGCCGAAGGGCTGCTGGACCTCCTGAAACCAGCGATCCAGCAGCTCGATCTGCACGTGCACTCAGTCAGGTAACCCGGTCCTCCCGGACCCAGACTGCTTGTTTACGGGTAATCTGCACGTGCCCCGTTTCTCTGGGATCTCCTGACTGCCTCGTGACTTGCTCAGTGGCTGTTCTTAAATGAACCTTAAAAAACAAAGTGCGCATAAACTCATGTAATGTGTCCTCCCTCTGCTGTAATCTGATTACTTTGTTCTTTGCAGAGAAAGCCAGGTTGAGTTAAGGGAACATATAGACAATCTGGCTACAGGTAAACATCTGCCATGTTTGGTAAATCCACGACACACGTGTTCAGTTTTTATTAGTGTCATACATAACAGCAGCTGTTCAAAATGCTTGCAGAACCATAAGTAGCGCGTGCTTGCTAACCGCTGGTTGGGTCTTCATTCTTTGCAGAGTTATGCAGAATAAATGAGCATCAGAAGGTGGCTCTGGATCTGGACCCCTACGTGAAGAAGCTGCTGAATGCAAGACGGAGAGTCGTGCTGGTCAACAACATCTTGCAGAATGCTCAGGTCAGTGGCCACACTTCTGTTCAGTCTGGTCAAGCTGAACTCACGGGTGTCTTCAGCAGGAACAGTGGGATGTGAGAGGTGTTGCTCAGTGGGACAAAGGCTCCCAGATGTATTATCAGCTCAAGTTCCACTTGTTTGTGGGTTATTGTATGGTTCCCAGTAGTAGAGCCACAGTACCGTCTAGAGCAAACAGGTGCAACTGGAGAGCAGCTGGGACAGAACCGAGGGGAGTGCTGTGCCGCCCTGGGGATACCACTGAAAGGTCCCGAGTCGTGCTTCTCTGAGACGTGAAGGAGAGCGCTAGACCAAGATCACTTCTAACCCACGCTGTTTGTGCTCATGTAACATTGAATTGTCGCCACCAAAATTCACAGCACAGATGTTTATTTTTATGGATATTTTGTCAGACACAAAATTCAGAGTTTCGCTGTGCAGAGCTACAGCTTGGCAGTGACTCTGCTGGTTAACATGTAGTCCTAACGGACTGCACTTCAACACTATTTAACACTTGTTTTTTGTCAGACAACAGAAACAGAAATGTATGTTGCATGACATCAACTTCTATGGATGGTTTCCAAGAAAAACTCTTTGGCACAAAACTGTAAGACGAACCTTTGTTAAAGATTCTGAAAAGAATCCTGATGAATAGCGGGAGCACATTGTGAAGGTCGACCAAAGACACACCTGTGTAGTTCAGATGGAGTCCAGCATGTTGGGCTTGAACCTGACCAGGACAACCACAAAAAAAGACATTTTCCAGCAAGACAGCAGTCCAAAGCAAACTGCCAAATCACAGAAAAAGCTCTGAAGAAGACAAAGGAGAAAACTAGGGTCTGGCCAAGTATGTCACCTGACTTGAATCCAATAGAACACCAGAACCCAGAACTGGGTTATTTACAGAAAAAGGTAGAGCAGTGCGACCCTGCCAGCAGAGCTGAAAATAAAAATACTGTTTGAAGAACAACAGAACATCTTTCTAGAAACTTGTGCAGCACTGATGAGGAGGATTGAGTCTGTCATCAAAAACAAATGTGGACACACAAACGACTGAACCAATAGAAGATTTGAGTGCCATCATGGAAGGTGTGCTGCCTATTGTTGCCTCACATTCCTCTGGTGAGGCCTAGTGCATCTAAACGGTTTCTTTTTATTTTTACAGAAGAGCAAGTGCCCTGTTGCTATGCTTAGGACTGATGCTGTTACTGAGAGGTGAAGCCATGTAGAATCATTTAGTAGGGTTAGGGTTAATCATTTGCACGTCTGCTGGGTACTGCAGTGAAGCATTTAGCAGCTTAACAGTCAGATGTTTTCCTCAGGCACTAAAGCAGCACTAAAAGGAGAATGAATGTTGGACTTACAGGTTAACCATCACTCTGGATGTTTGCCTTGCCTTGTCTGCTGCCCTCTGGTGGCTAAAAATTCTGTTGCTGCAGTTTGATATTCTATCCAGCTGAGCCAGGACTGCTGTACCGATGCCATTACGTGTACTACTGCCATGTTTACTATCACTAGTACTTTAACTGCTACAAAACTAGTTAGTTAGCAGTCATAATTACATTAATACAACTGCTACGACTGTAACCTTTATGATAATGATTATTGTTAATATTAATGCTACCACTACAATAAAAACACGAGTAATACTACTACAAACTGTACTGCCATTACAAAGGCTACCACGCCTAATGATACCCAGCTACAGGGTTAGGATTGACCAGGGTTGACCAGCTAACCCTAATATTACTGTCCCACTACGGCTGCAGCTACAGGGTTAGGGTTGACCAGGGTTGACCAGCTAACCCTAATAATACCGTACCACTACGGCTGCAGCTACAGGGTTCGGGTTACCGGCTGGTCAAGTTGCCAGAAAATAAAACAGTGTACAAGCAAAAACATAACCTAAAACTTTGCTGTCTCCAGGAACGTCTCAGGCGACTCAATCACAATGTGGCCAAAGAGACAGCACGAAGAAAGACCATGCTGGAGGCATCGGGGGTGTTCACCTCTCGCTCTCCCAGCAAGCCTTGAGCCTCCACCTCCTGCTCAGCACAGCGAACACTGTGAGCTCTTCTGACCTGGAGGGACACATGGACACCAGGAGGACCAATCTTTGATATTCACTTATGTGTTTGTGTAATAACATGCTCTGCTTCTGTCGTAATGCAAATCCAGGCTGCCATTCGCCTGCAATTAGGCAGCTTACGCATATAGTCACTAAAATACAACGACTGTATTTGTTCATAATTTCTGTCTTCTGATGAAAGGAAGAAGTGTTCTTTGGCTGAGGGACTTTTATGTAATAAATCACAAACACTGATTCTACAGATAAGAGAAATACTTCTCTTTATAAAGAAATAGTCAGAAAATGTAATAGAAAGGATGAACCTTAACTCTAAGCCTGTGTCATGCCAGATAGATGCTAACACTTGGCCTGAGCATTGTCCTATGTCCTAAAAATGTCTGTAAGGATGCTGTCTGCTCTCTGACCTGCAGAGCAAATGTAAGCTTAATAGCACTCTGTGGAGTGACTTCATGAAGTTCAAGATTTTAGCTGGCTCTTATTGTCCAGAGATTAAAAAGTACTGACGTGTTCACCTCGACTTTTACGTGCTTGTGAAATTATGTTTTTGATTGATATTCACTGCTTATTTATTCATCTTTATCAAGTGTACATTATCTTTTTTTTCATGACTCATGTCAACATGCTGATGAGAGCAACCAGAGCAGATGTTTACTGAGGTCCACGTCAGTGGGTTGTGGGACAGAAGATCAGTGCTGTTGATTTACCTGTTTCATTGTTTCTTATGAGAAACACGGTGAAGAGATGAACTTAGATCATCAAAAAAGAAAGTGACTGTCTTAACGGGACCGTAGATGTGCTCAGAAAATTCCATATTTCCATGTATATTTGGTTCCCATTAAAGTAGATGTTAACCTCCAGAAGAGGACATAAAAGGTCAGTTTTGTTTTTTTGTTTAAAAAAAAAAAAGAATTAATAAACAAACAAAAAAAAATGCATTTACATTTGGAAAATAAATTATCTGTACATGTTGAATGTTATGCTGAAATGTAGACAAACTCCACATTTTCCCAAGTTAAGCTCTTAAAGTCACTAAAAGTTACTCTAGTTAATGAATTCACTAGAATGAATTTGAAGTGAACCAGTGGAGCACAGTGCAGTTAT